CTTTCTTTCTTTCTTTCTTTCTTTCTTTCTTTCTTTCTTTCTTTCTTTCTTTCTTTCTTTCTGTCTCTGTACTTGGTTTGACTGGCATATTCTTGAAATTGATACAATGTAATTGAATTACTATTATAATGAGGAATAGAGCATACTCTAAATTAACAACAACCCTTTTGTATTTGTAGCTGCAAGTTTTTTGTATAGGCCTATATTAATAAAAACGTCAGTTTTCTGCAGCTTAAGTCGGTATGACAACATATATTTAGAAAATATGAACATTTATGCTCTAAAGACATAAAGTATGTAATTCCTCTATAATGTTCCTATTTTTAATCTAAATATGAGTGTACCTGCAGTTTGAACAAATATAAATGAGTTTTTACTTTTTCACATTTGCGGTTGAGCGCAGATTTTGTCTAAAATTATACCTTTTTCCTCTCAGACTAATAAACTCCAGGCTTGTAAAACCCTAAAAGATAATCTGCATTTTTTTTTTATTATAGTAATAGTTATTGAATAATTTGCATTATTATGATACCTGGAACAATGCACTTTTAGAAATATTAAGCATACGGCATTACTGACAAGTCCTACCATCATATTGCTAAAGTTCCTTTCTTTAAACTTCCTTTACTGTTGTTCTCACAGCCTTTGAGACAAAACGTAGACGTCTTGTGCCCCCTTGAACTTACGCTGCAGCCGTGATGTCTGCTCCACAGCGACCCAGTCATCCGTGAGCTGCAGTGAGAATATCTGCGGTCAGAGTTTCTCACACTCAGGGTCATTAGTGCCGGACAGAAACAGGACAACTAATTTGACAAGACAGGCGTTTTAACAATGCAACATCTGCAGCAAAAAAATTCAAAAAGGCCTTGGCAGCACTTTGATGCTCTAGTGAGTCGAATAAAAAGACAAGCTTATTTTCAAAGTTAAGCTCAGCTATATTATTCTGCTGCAGATAAACATAATTGGACTAACTCAAAAGATGGACTCCCAGTGTTCCCTTTGTAAGCATTGTTAAAGATAATCTACAATACTGTAAAACCCCATGGTCACGTGTTATAGCAGCTTTAGTTATAGGTGTCATATCAGCTTGTTGGCCAAACACTACAGCGCAAACAATATAGTCTACTTCAAATTGTGACACCAAATATCTCAGATATATACATCCATTAAAATAAAAGAGCAGCAGACAAAAAGCAACACTACTACACTGTATCTAACCT